CAGTTCAGATTTCAGAAAAAGAGGATTAAGGGATTGGTTAAGAAGGGAAAAATAAAGTCGAAGGGTAAGCTTGTGGGGAACATACAAACTAATTGTAAAAGTGCCAAAAGGGATATAAAGAGAGAAGAAAAGATAATGAAAACAAGTCCCTTACAATTAGGAACAGGGGAAGTTGGAATGTGGAATAAAGAGATAAACAGACCAAATAACTACGTACTTTGGTTCTGTCATCACAAATGATGGCATCAATAATATCCCTAAAATGCTGGGGAGCACGAGAGGCACGAAGTGAAGGAAATCAGTATTAATAGAGAAATGATGTTGGGGAAATTAATGGGATTAAAAGCCAACAAATCCCAGTACCTGGTAATATATGCCCCAGAGTACTTAATAAAGTAGCCTGAGAGTTGGCGAATGCATTCTGAAACTTGGGGATTGAATCTAAATTGAGGAAATTAATGGGTCTTTTATAATGCTATAGACTCTGGAACAGTTCCTATGGATTGGAGGGGAGCTAATGTAAGCCAATATGTAAAAAAACAGGAGGAGAGAAAACATGGACTTATAGACCACTTAGTCCAACACTGGAAAACAGTAACAGCATTGGACAGAGTCAGAGTCAGTCAGCTTGGATTTGGAAGAGGGAAATGAGAACTGAGACCTATTCGTTCTTGTACACAAGTCACTCAAAGTAAGCATGCATGTAGAGGCAGGAAGTGAAGGCTGCAAATACTAAGTTGGTCTTCATAGCGAGAGGATTTGAGAACAGGAACAGGGGTGTCTTGGTGAGACGGCAGCTGGAGCATTGTGTGCAGTTTTGGAATACTTATCTGACTAAGGATGTTCTGGCTATGGAGGCTGTCCAATTAAGGTTTACCAGACTGATTCCTGGGATGGCAGGACTGACATATTACGACAGAATAGATCAGATAGGATTATCTGGGGTTTAGAATTTTGCGGGAAGATCTCACAGGAACCAATCAAACTCTAACAGGACTAACAAGTTAAATTACAGGAAGGAGGCTGTCAATGACGAGGAAGTCCAGAACCAGGGGATCATGGATTAAGGATATAGGGTACGGTGTTTAGGGCCTAGATGAGGGAAGATTTCTTTTCTCAGAGACTGGTGAGATTGTGGAATGTGCTGCCATGGAAAGCAGTTAAAGCCAAGAGGACATATCGTTCTGAGGGCTAAATCGATCAAATGATATGGGCCTCAACTGGGAAAAGGCTACCAGTTGAACAATCAGCCATGATCACACCAAATAGTAGAGCAGGATTGAACGTCACAATAGCATACTCCAGTTGCTATTTTCCATGTTTCTATTCTGTTGAAGGTGGGATATTAAAACAAAACGACTGTAACAAACACAGATACTAGCACTACCTTATCACCACTGAATGAAAATCCTGAAATTCCTTACCGAACAGCAATCTGCGAAGAGCTTCACCACATGGACTGCAGCAGTTCAAGGAGGAGCAGAATGATTTTGGAAGCTTTTGGATTTGCTGCTCGGTCTCTCAATACCTATCCAATTACCAGATTGTTGAATGCTCCGAGAAATTTAATATAGGAAATAAGAAAATAATTCGGGAAGTTTGCCAAAACTGTTACATTCACTGCTGACTTTAAAATTTGATGAACCTTTACGTGTCCGTGAACAACTCATTATCCAAGGATTGCACAAAGGCTTGATATCCATTGTTTGAAACTGTTTAACTGAACTGACAATTTACATTAATTTTATTTTCTGCTTAATATATCCTTTATGTGTGCCTGTCAATCAGTGATAGTGGAGATGATAAAAGAAGAAGGTTGCGTTTAAATCACATTGATTCGACTGCCTAGTTGATTGTGTTTATTTTGCTAAAGATATTTTTATTTCTTCTTTCTTGAAACTTGGTGTCCAAGATCGGTTATTCATAAAATCTGGTCAGGAGCATTTGGGCAATTTAAATTATTGTAAATTTCACTGTGAAACTAATTTGTCTTGAATTTCTATCCTTACGTCATAACAAGCTTTTGATAGTCAATATTAGCTCAGAAACAGAAATGATCTCCAGTGCAGAACACAAAATTCCTGACCATGGGAAGATAAAGCTGGAAAATCAGCAGCATGTAACCAGATATGAGCAGGGATGGATAACCTCATTTGGACACAATCAGCAGAAATACCAACAAAATACCCAAAGAGGTTCAAAGAATTGTCGGTGCAGTGTGGAGCTGGAGGAACACAGCAGGTCAGGCAGCATCAGAAAAGTTGACATTTTGGGTCGGGACCCTTCAGAGTTCAGGCATTGAAATGATCTTTCCTCAGTGTGAACAAACGGGTGTTGCAGCAGGTTGGATGACTGAGTGAATCCCTTCCCACACTGAGCAGGTGAATGGCCTGTTACAGGTGTGACTGCAATGAGTTTTCAGCTCAGATGAGGAAATGAATTCCTCCCCATAATTGCCACATTTCCACAGCTTCTCCCCAGTGTGACTACGTTGTGGTTTCTGAGGTCTGATGATTGTGCTCGAGCCTTGTCCATACACACAATACCTATGCAGTTTCTCTCCGCTGTGAACGGAGTATTTCCTTCCATGTTAAAAAAATTATCCATTTGTGACAAAATGGGTGGTTCCATCAGATCAATGGTGTAATGGTTGGTTTGTCAATCCTCCCCTTCTTATATCCTGTGAAATTGATGTCAAATAAAAAACAAAAAAGAGTGAGAGAGAATCTCTCACAAGACTCTGGCTTCTATGAGAAGATAGGGAATAAAGAAGAGGGATTTTAGACCTACGATTTGACCAGAACTTTGCCAGAATCTTCCAAACACTCAGTCTCCACCATCATGGTGGCAGATGGATGTGAACACCACCACCTCCAAGCTCCCTCCAAGTCACGCACCATCCTGACTTTTCTGACATGCAGACCTGATGGAGCAGATATTTCCTTCCAGTAACTAATGGCCAAACAGAGGCCTTTATCTTCAGTCCTCAACACAAACTCCACTGCCTCACAACTGACTCCAACCCCTCCATGGCAACTGCCTGAGTCTGAACCAAAAATGTCATAACCATGGTGAAATATTTCACCCAGAGAGGAGTTTTCAATCAAATATCCCCATCATCACCAAGACTGCCCAATTCCACCTCAGTAACATCACCCTAGTCCTCCTCATCTCTGCTCATCTGCTGCTGAAGCTCTTATCCATTCCTTTGTTACCTCTGGACTTAGCTATCCTGATGTACTCCCCACTGTCCTCTCACATTCCCCACTCTGCACTAGTCTAACTTCCTCTGCGTCTATTAATGGGTGTACTTGGGCTCTGTTCAGTGTTTTATTGTTACTTTCATTGACTGTTTCTAAATGAGGTTTTTACCTCTGCCCATTCTCCCAACCATGGGATGCTGTCTTAACAGCGTTATCTTCACACACAAGCTCCCACAATACTGTAATAGAAGGAGTTGCAGGCTATTCACCAAGTAACGTAATCCTGAGGTCATCCAAAATTCTGCTACCCGCAAGAGTATACGCATCAAGTCTGGTTCACCCACCACACTGAACTCATGCAGCTAAATTTTAAACATTTCATCCTTCTGTTCAAATCTCTTGATCACGCCCACTCTATCTATCTCTGTAATGTCCTCCAGCCTCCAGCCCTTTGAAGAGCCATGAGGTTTGACCAATAAATGTTTACGCAGCCAGCGGTGCCCACCACCCCACGAGAATTAATTTTTAAAAATGCCTTTTGAGATTTATGTATTACCTCGAATTTCAACCTCCTCAGCATTCTCGATTTTAACTGTCCCACATTTGGTGCCCTCAACCTTTAGCTGCTAAGTTTCACAAACTGTGAAATTTCCTCATTAAACCTCTCCTTCTCTTGATGTCAGTTTTGTGCTTTGAAATACTGGTTGAAAACAACTTATTTGACCATAAAACATTTTGTCACTGCTTTAATATTTCATTATGTGTCTAGGATCAAGACTTGCATTATAACACTCCCAAGGAACAGTTTAGAAGTTTCCATTATGTGAAGGGCGCTATATTGATACTAGTTAATTGCCATTGGTTTGGACACATATCACAGTCCCTTCGTCATCACTTGGTGAATAACGCCTTACCAAACAGCATTCTGGGAGCTACTAAGGGAAGATAATTGCCATCAACAAATGGTCAGGCAATGTTAAGCTGTAAATACCTCATTTAAGAGAGTCAATGGAAGTAACAATAAAATACCTAAGACAGTTACACACATTGTAGGAGACAGAGCAGGTTAGACAATGAAAGAGAGTTGATCAGGGAGAGCACAGATGAACCAGCACAATGGATGGTGCTATAAAGGAGTTTTTGACACCAGTCACATAACGAGGGGATGACAAAATGTGTCGCATTACTCCCAGAGTCAGATAACTGACAACAGCATGAGAAGCTAAGTTGTGTAGATTACTGGTTAAAAATATTGAAATAATTTCATTGTGTTCAACTTTAAAATCAAATGCCGGAGTCTGAAGCACTGGGGTCAGAGTAAACTCTCAGCTCAGGTAATACCTGACAATCAGGGTGATGTCACTCAGCAATTGCCCGTGTGTCATAGCATCGCCCACTTCAACACAAAGCATTTAGGTTTACACAAACAGGTAATCTCCATGAAGGATGTAAGGGTCTGAGGAGAGATTTGAAAGCAGATGAATCAGAATGGCTCAAGAACTGAGGGAAATTAGTGGTGGGGTCATGTTGGAGAAACAGGTTGAAGTTGTTCTGCACAGAGCAAAGGAGATTAAGCTGAAATTTGATTAAGTGTCTGGGTTTACGATAGGTTTAAATAAGGTAGCTGAAGAGCAGCTGTTCCTCTTCACTGATAGGAAAACTATAAAAGACACAGATTTAAGATAATGGGCAATAGTTACTGGAAGGAATTTTATGTTACTTTCATCTTACTCAATACTTATATTCAAAGGCCGATAATATCCAGTACTGAATGAAGAAAAAAATAAAGTGGCTTACTTAGATCTTGGTGTATCATTTGGTTTGAGTTTCCGATCTGCAAATCCTCTTCTAACATGCTGTTAAAATAAAATTACAGTCAGTCCGGGACAAAATTTCAAAAGTAGGAAATATATGATTGATTTGGAGTTTGCTGTGTGTAAACGCTCCCTTCCTCACTCCCTGTCAAACAGTTTATGAACTCCATTCCTGTCAGTCCAGGAGAAACATTAACAACATTCTCTCCCCTGGCCCAGGATGACCGCACATGCGTTCTGCTGCCCTTTACCTCCTACAAAGATGGCGGCTGTCACCCGCGGCCTGTCATTGAGAGGGAGCCTCGATTTGTCCTGTTTTGTAAAACTGTGACAGATAATTTCTTTATGCGGGATCTGCCGCATCCACGAAGTGTTTAGAAAGCCTCCCCGTCTACCACCCGGTCTCGCACCTCCTCCGTTCCGCCTCATTGTTACATTTTGTGGAGCCGAAGAAAAGAGCGACTGCTCCTCAGGATCGCTCCGACTGCGCATGCTCTAGACTGTTGACACATGGGAACATACTGAGCCTGCGCAGTGATGTGATGCTGTGCATAGCGCTCGGAATTCTGGGTTAAGTGGCCACCATTGTAAAGATTGAATTTTATTTGTCGTAATATGTACAAGGAATCTTTCTTTTTACTTCCTACCAGGAAAACTCACATATATAATACATTTAATAGAGTATAAAACGTTTGCATCCCGGGGATCTAATATCACAAAATCTGACCCTGAGTCGCCATACTCAATCTGGGTCACAGGGCTGCTTTCTCATTACAGAAGCAAAACTGGTGGTGGATTAACCTGAGGGACACCACACCTCATGTCAGCAGAGAGGTTGAAAGGGGAGAGTCATTAGTGGCAAACTCAGGCAGTGTGGGATTTAAAATATACTGTTGGCATCATGAGGAAAATGAGCAAATAGCTCCAAGAAAGAGTTTGGCTTATTAACTGTCTTCAAAGTGGATAACGTAGATTTCATGTTGCAGCAAACAACAATGTTTCCTGTCACTTGCTGAAGAAAGTTCCACTGATGTCCTCAAAATATTGACTACCTATTTGGATGAGCACTTGAAACGTCAGAGCAAATGAGGCGATGGGCCAAGTGCTGGAAACTGGGTTTAGAAGTGAGATGTTTGATGACTGGCATAGATATAATGGGCTGAAAGGTCTCTCTCCATGGTGTTAAAATCTCACTGACTATCATTTTGCAACTGAAACAAAAGGTCAAAGCAGTGGCAAGGCAAAAAGTTGCAAGTATTGTGTGCACCTTCCTTTTTGGGATTCAGCATTGCAACTGCTGTGTTCTCGGTTTGATTCCCAAATAGGAATGAGGATTTTATTGTTCCTGTCCAAACTCTTAAATGAACGTGAATTCCTGATAGTAAAGGGGACAGCTCTGTCAGAATCAGTCTTACGTCAGGGATGAAACTAAACAGGAGAAAAGCGCTGAAATTCATTGACTTCACGTGCTCAGACACAAGACTACAAAAAATAATTGTTAAAACATACAGGTTTCTTTGAGATTTTACATGTTGGACACAAAAAAATTGGCTTTCCTTTTGGGCAATCTTGTACCAGAGTGCCTGATATTAGAATGTGTGTCGCACATTTAAGACAGATGAGGAAGCATTTATTCTCTCAGATGGTGGTGAATTGGTGGAATTCCTTACAGCAGAGGGTTGTCAGGTCTGGTTCATTAACTGTATTCAATGGTGAGATCGACAGATTTTTAATCATTAAAGGTGTCAAGGGTTATGCGGAAAGGCAAGAAAGTGTCGTTCAGGATTATCATATCAGACAAAAGATCAGTAAATGGCGGGGAAAACTGAATGGGCTGGATGGTCCCGTTCTGCTCCAAAAGTTTATGGTCTTAATACGAGACTGTAAAGCTGACCTGAGCGAAATCTGCCAAGTTAACATGCATGGATCCTCTGTGGTCACTGAACCGAGGTGAGACGTGCAAAGGGCAACACACAAAGGAGAGTCATCGTGGGTGATTGATCCAGAGTGATTATATACCAAGGTAAACAGTGAAATCCAGTTCTCAGAACCCAGAGATAGTAGGAACTGCCGATGTTGGAGAATCTGAGATAACAAGGTGTCGAGCTGGATGAACACAGCAGGCCAAGCAACATCAGAGGAGCAGGAAAGCTGACGTTTCAGGTCTGGACCCTTCTTCAGAACCGAAAGCGTCAGCTTTCCTGCCTTCAGAACCCACATTGGGCCTGGCTCCGTTAGGGCTACAGTTAGCTCTCACAAACCACCATGGCCATTCACTTTTCCTGACCTCCCCTCTCTCCTTGTTTTAATCCGATTGCACATCAGGCAATTGCAGCTGACATTGCTGATGTGGAACAGTAACATGCAATGAAGCGATTCTGACTGGTCAGTGACATAATTCTGCATCTAAAGATTAGTCAGTATTTTATATTTATTAGTGTAAATGTTAACTATTAACAGGCCATGGCAGTCAAGGCACTGAATCCTCTTCACAAGACGACCAGGGCAGATCACTGTTCATATCACCCTGGACACTGTCTGATTTGGCAATGCATTCTCCCATGCTTCTGCACATCATCCCCCTCAGCTCTGTAACGGATTAGTTACATTGTCTTGGTGTATGATGCACAGGCTATCCAGTCATCTTTTACATTGCAGTTTCTAATACATGACTTTGTAGTTTAGTGGTTTGCTCAGTCGTCTTGAGTTCGATTCATTCTGGGGCCTGAGAGAATTTTCGCCACTTGCTGGAGCCAACCAAAGTAGCTCTTTAAAGTCGTTTGAAATTGTTTCTGATGAAATAACGTTAACACCACCATGTCATTTCCTCAACCAGCCAGAAATGCTTTTGAAGTACCACATTCCTTTTCGTCTTTCCAGGTACTGGAGGAAGATCTTTCGGAAGGACAGGAATCAGCTGACTTGAGCAATGTTCCAGTTTAGCAGGAAGAATGAGGTTAAGCAGGATAACCTGCAGGTAGCGGGCAAACAATGTGGGAGGAACACAGACAGGAGAGGGGCCAAATGCCTCCTTTCTTTGCTGTAACCAAACACTGGTTTTGAAGTCTGAAATGGGACGATGTAAGACAGATGGGTGAATGCCTTGCTTTCTGCGGCTTGGTCTCTCCTGATGCCGCTGTCACTCTTGGGGCAATGTGTCTGTGAGTTTCCCTCTGTGGATGAAAATGAGGTTCAGTTCCCTAAGGGGGCGTGAATACAATTTTACTATCTCAAATCTCAAACCCATTCTTTGTGCCGCTTGAGATTAAAAAGTTACAAGGAAATATTGTTGAGATGAATGCTTGAAATGTCAGAGCATGCAAGGCTACAGGCTAAGTGCTGGAAATTGGGAATGATGGGCCTCTTTCCGTGCTGTACAAACTCAGTAACTTGATTATTTTCGAGAAGTTTATCTCCAGTGAAAAAAGGCCAAATGCTTTGTCAGTAAGAAAATGAGCATGCATTTCCACGATCATCCCTTTTAGTCTAGTGGTTGAGACTTGGCGCTCTCACTGACGTGGCCAGGGTTCGATTTCTGGTCAGGGAATCAGGATTTATTGTTCCTGACGGTAACAAAATCAAACACACAGCAGTCTATGACGGGAATCCTTTCAGTGTCTCAGGCCAGTTAATGTCCCCGAGAACATCAGAGTCAATGTCCCAGCCTCTTAAAGAAGTGGAAGCTTCCTCGACTGTCTCTGCTGAGTTGAAAAGTTCACCTTCATTCTCCTCTGATTCAGCTCCCCAAAGACTTAGAAAGTTGAGGCTGGTTTCATTTTTTGTTTTGTTTCCTTTCCATTCCCGTCAGCTTGGGGGATGACTTCAGCTTCCCCTCCTCTGATATTCTTGGTGACATTTACTGATGTGAGACATTGAAAGGATTCTTGTTCCTGCAGGTCAGGAATTCAAAGCTCATCTCAGTTTCAGGGCAATGAGGAAGATTAATTTGGAAGTGTAAAGAAATTGTGCATTACACTTGAGTCAGGTAGGAGTCAAACCTACAACCATCTGATTCATAGTTAGTATGTTATCCATTGTCCCACTGGACCCATGTAAGCACAATGCTTACATGTGGCAGGGTTGTGGTGTTGACAGGGACATGAGCAGCAATAGTTTGGTGGACACAAGGTGAACAACCAGCAATGATAATCGCCGTCACTGCTTCAGTTCAATGGTTCCCGCTTAGTGAGGTGGTGAATTTTATCGGCAAAGAAAACACATTTGTCGTCAGGAGGCTGCTTCGGTGTCTCCTCTTTTTCTGCTAGATTCATCATGAAGTTCTTTTCTGCTGTTCCACAAGCACGTCTGCTTCTCCTTTTCTTCTATTCTCATCCTTTCGTTCCCAGTTTGGCAGGAATAACGAGGTGAGGCAGGATAAACTGCAGATTTAGTGGGGAATGTTGTGGTAATGGCACAGACAGAACAAGCTGATCACCCTCATTCTCTGCGGTCGCCATTCATTCAGTTTACGCCAACAGGAAAGCCATCACTATAATCCCATAATTGTGGTGGACTTTTTTTTCTGACGGATTCGGAATTTTATTTCGAATTCTAAAGATTCATAATCTTGTGAGGGAAGAAATGTCTCGTTATCTCCATCCTAAGTGACAGACACATTATCCAGGGAATGCGAACGCAGTTCTAGACACTCCAGCCAGGAGGAAAAAGCCTCCCAGCAGCTGCAATCTCAAATTGTCTTCAAATTTCTGACTTTACACAGAGCAGGAATGGGAAATAAGGGATATTGACAGAAGGAGATGAGGTGGATACACAGAGAGACAAATAGAGACACAAATTGAAGTAGACACTGAAATAGCCAATTCTCCATTCGACATGGCTGCTAATTGACACAAAGGAAAAGAAAAAGGAACCATTTAAGCAGAGCCTTTCACCACCGAGGGGAACGGAAGCAGCATCAGAGCTGATAAAATCCCTTTAAAGTTGTAAAGTTGACAGTTGTAAGCTAAAGGGAGAGCAATTTTGATTAATATGCTGATTTGAAAGATAAAGCCGATAATTTCCCCTGGCATTATAACATAGGAATGCATAACTAACCTGGTTCTGACGAACGGTCACAGGACCTGATATGTTAACTCTGTTTCTCTACACAGATGCTGCCAGACCTGCTGAGCTTCCGTATCAATTCCCTTTTTGTGCCATATTTCCCACAGTTCTTTGTTTTATTTTAATCTGAGTAACGTCTGGGACTAAACAGTTCACCTTCCGTCTCCTGAAAGATCAGTTAGAAGTGCTGTCACCACGAGAAAATAACACAGCAGAGTGACTATTCCCTGACTAGGAATCGAAGCTGGGCCGCAGTGGGGAGAGGGCCAAATCCCAGCCACGAGACCACCAGTGAAAGGGGCAGAAGGTGTGGTACATTTTCGCAATGACACTGCTTTTGCATTTTATTTTGTGACCATTTTCACTGCAGATCAGTTTCTCCATCCAAGTTTTTACAGCGTGGAAGACGACCATT